CCAGATTCAGAAATCCTCACAGCTGCTCATTATCATTCAGATGTCTTCTGCTTCCATGAGTGTGTGTGGCTTTTACCATTTAAGACTGGTTTAAACCATAAGCAAACATTCTGACAGTCCTAATTGGAAGTCTAGAAAAAGGCTGCTTTTGGCTATTGGTTCAGTGGCTCAAGGATGTTATTAAAAACTAGAGGTTTTTTGGCTCTTCATTGTTTGGTTCAGAATATCTGCTTTATCTAAGGCTATTGTCTCTCAGGTCACAAGACTGCTTGCAAGAGCAGCAAAGGTTATGTGTGTCTTCGTTCAGTCAAGTAGTAAAGAGAGGTGCAGAGTTGGAGAGAATGACTGAGGACTTTAACGGAAGAACAAGAAGCTTCCTTTTCAGTAGCCATCAGAAAATCATCTTTTGAATTTCACTTGTCTGAATTAATTCAGATGCTCCAATCCAATCTCCCTAGCTAAAGCAATGGGAAAATTCTGATTGATTTGTGCCAATCAGGCCTCATCACTGGAGTCTCGGGCTTAAGTCTGCTTTCCTTGAAGCAGAGGCTGCATGCATGAAAGAGATGTAGATAAAAACCGATTATAATCATGTACAAGAAGTAAGAGAGTCCGCCCCATGCCCACTTCTGAACTGGAACTGAGGGGCACTGGGCAGCATCAGCTGACTAAACCCAAAGGTGTTATTCACCACCACCAAGAGGAGTTCCCTAAAGACAGGGTGTAGGATGCCGGGCAGCAAAAGGTAATGCTCTGCCTAACCTGCTTCTGGTCCCTGAGCTACCAGGACCGCCACAGGTGACTGCAGAGTCACATGATTAAGACAGCAATTTTTTTTTTCTTTCCTTTTCTTTATGAAAGAAAGATAATTTTTTGACATGGAATAATTAGTTTGCCATCTTTACTTGGATGTCCCATAAGCAGTTCACTTACAGTGTTTATCAGCCTCTTTCCCAACTAACTCCCATGTACCCAATCTTAGTATAATGACAAGACATAGTCACTGCCTTATAATAAGTGTATGTATATAGAGAGAGAGATATCATATGGGGGTGGTTGGACCATAATTACAGATTTTTTTTAATCATATGAATTAAAGGAATTGAAATGAAATAATCTATGTCTAGTTGACCCATTTAGGGGTAATATTCCCATATTTTACTATGTTATAAGTTTTCTGTAATGTTAATATAATATGTATGTTATTAATGAGAAACTTGTAAATAGAGTGAAATGATACAATACTTCCTATGGTCTCCCATATGGAAGTTTTATCACCTGTATAGTAACGTATCCGATTCTAGCTGCTTCAGAAATACAATGTTCTCTGATTAGGTCTTTCTCTGCAAGTTACTACACTATATTCAAATGTGTTTTGTTTTCATTTTCTTTTGTTTAAATTTTAAAAAGGCTTTTCAGGGAGAATTTCATTACTAATCTTAATTAAATTGTATGCCTTCATTTAGGTATAGCACCTGTCAGATAGCAGGTGTTATGCCAGTTGCTACAGATACAGAAATAAACTGAGGCTGCCCTCAGAAAGCTTACCATTTAATGCAGAAGACATAAACCAACAGTCAGCTGTCTAACAGACAATGCAGTGTGACAAAAGCCACAGCAGAAGTGATCACAAGTTGTGATGAGGTTTTCTTTTATAATTATACTGTGAATTGTGGTTAAACTAGTCTTTTCCTCCTCCAGAGTCTTTCTTCAGTTCCTGTGGTAATTTACATAAACTAAGTGAAGAGACACTGATTCCACCTCCACTTCCTCCTCGAAAAAAGTTTGATCATGATGCTTCAAATTCCAAGGTAGTCCACAGGACTTAGGTTTGCTTCAACTTAGAGTTGGAAATCTTCAAAATAGTGCTCAGTGTGATAGAGTCTGTCACTTATACTTTGGGTACTCGTTAAGGTTTTCCAACATTGGGATTATTACATTTGAAAATACTTTAAGTAGTTGTTTAATCCTCATGAAAACCTTTTCTAAAAAAGAGGTTAGGCGGATTGCCAGATAGTCAGAAGTATCTTTTCTTTCTGGAAAGAACTTTGGTAGCATTTCAAAGCATTCTTCAAACTTTGAGCCCATGCTTCTGAAATTTCAGAATCACCTGAAAGACGATTGTTACCCCTCTTCCCAGAGGTTCTGATTAGTAGGTCTAGGGTGGGACTCAAGAATTTGCTTTTCGAATGGGTCCTCTGCTGGTGCTGGTTGTCACTGGATCACATTTACTACTTTGGGCCTCACTGGAGAAAGCAGATGTCCAGTAGGCAGAAGCTGGACATTAAGGTCCTCTTGAGGTCATGGCCTTTCATGTCTGCAGAACTGTATATTATTTTCACTTACTTACCTATTGTTATAATTAAAATACTTAATTTCTGAAATGTATACATAAAGCATGATAACCTGAGACTTCATGTTCTAACATTTCGATTAAAACATCTCATATATAAAAATATTAAATTGAGGGGCAGCACCTGTGGCTCAAAGGAGTAGGGCGCCAGCCCCATATGCCAGAGGTGGCAAGTTCAAACCCAGCCCTGGCCAAAAACTGCAAAAAAAAAAAAAATTAAACTGAGCCCTGAATTAAACTGAGAGTAACTTACTCATAAATCTGATAATTAAACCAAATTAATCTATTTTGTGCCTCTGGATTTAATTTGATACCTGAGAGTTTTTTCAATCTTTAAAAAAAAATTTATTACAAGTTTTTGAAGAGAATAGACATATAAATTTAATTGTTTTTTTTTTTTTTTGAGGGAAATACGATATCTGATGATGACCCTCCTGCTATTCCACCGAGACAGCCTCCTCCTCCAAAGGTAAAACCCAGAGTTCCTGTTCCTGCTGGCGCATTTGATGGGCCCCTGCATAGTCCACCTCCACCACCGCCAAGAGATCCTCTTCCAGATACCCCTCCTCCAATTCCCCTGCGGCCTCCAGAACACTTCATAAACTGTCCATTTAATCTTCAGCCGCCTCCACTGGGACATCTTCACAGAGATCCAGACTGGTTCAGAGATGTTAGTACATGTCCAAATTCGCCAAGCACTCCTCCTAGCACACCCTCTCCACGGGTACCACGTCGATGCCACATGCTCAGCTCTAGTCATAACAATCTTGCTCATCCTCCAGCACCCCCTGTTCCACCAAGGCAGAGTTCAAGCCCTCACCTGCCAAAACTGCCACCAAAGACTTACAAACGGGAGCTTTCGCATCCCCCATTGTACAGACTGCCTTTGCTAGAAAATGCAGAAACTCCTCAATGACCGTAGCCATATGTAGTCATTGACACTGGAATGGTATTTGTAAAGTTTTTTTAATTTATTTGGAAAAAAAGGCATAGTATTTTAGTACTTTTTACAAATAATGCTTTTATAAAAATGCTACTGATCAAATAAGCTTTTAAAAATTGGAGAAATAAAAATACAAAAGTCCTTCACCATTATCCTCAGGTGATCAGTAGCATTGCCTTGTCTGGGATCCTCAGTGCTGCCAAAAGGCCAGTATAAAGAATTTATATTTGCACTGTAGACTCTGCTAAAATATGGTTTAAAGTGACATTGATTGCACTGAATGGGGATAGTGCTTTTGTGGAATTTTTCAAATTCGAGTAGTAGATGTCTTTTTTAAGGCAGTGAATTTACACACATGAAAAGGGTATGGTGTTACTGATTTTTAAACCTCTTTGGCCATCTTCTAGTTTTTACTTATAGTTTTTACATCTAGGAGAATTGTGAATAACACCAACTGTTCTTAAACTCTTTAATGCCATGTCTTAAATGCCAGTATTTGCTGCTGAAGACAAAAATGAAAAGTAGAATGAAAGTAACAGAATGCACTGTTTATTATTTTGTCAAAATATAAACAAAGACTACATAACCCAATTATGGAAGAAAAAAGGGCATATATCTCATTCAGATGTGCCTTTTTTTGCAGACTATGGTGTCTTTAGCTAATGAATTGCCTATTGTTTTGGAAAACAAATTAATATGCCATGTATGTACAGTTGTTTATATTGTATATTTAAAGATACTGCTTATAACCTATATAAATTTAAGTGACTTGAGGCCTATAATACAATCTGCTACTTTTCTAATTCATAAATTCAGAGGAAATTCTTATGGCATAAGAACCAGCTGCCTTGCCTTCAAATCCTAGTAACCTTCTCTATAAATCTCCTGTTAACTGAAATTTTTTTAAAAAAAATTTAGATTGGTAATATTTAAACCAGAAAATACTTAAAGTTTTATTAAACTTTTTAATCAGAGGAGTGAGTAAAACTTTTATTTGCCATTCGGACGTCTTGGTTCAAAGTGATGAAAGCATGTTTTGCTGGTAGTGTTGTAGCAGCAGTTGTAAAGTAGCCAAAAGCCACGTCGTTTATTTACTGGTCTGTGGCCTTTTACTGTGCTTTGTATCAGAGTTCTTAACAAGATTAATAAATCACCCCAGTCTTAATTTTTAAAATGTTTCAAATATGTGTTTTCATTATACGGAACAAAGGAGAAGATTGTTGAAACCTGTAGATAGTTACGCATTATTTTAAATATTTTGCAGTTTATATCACATAATCCCAAAGAGTTTAAGTTGTTAATCTTAGAGGGTAATTTTGTCTTTACTGTTAAACACAAGCGGCAATTTCCCAGCAACCATTTCTATGCACTGATACAGAAAAACGGGGAGCGGAAAACCGGGAGCTTGCTGGGAAATTCCTCAGGAGGAGTAAAGACATTCTTAGATGGGATCTTAAGCGTTGCCTGGATTTAAGGCCAGTAACTACTGTGCGCTTGTGTCTCCAGCTAAGTAAAAACACTGTGGTTGGCTTTGTTTTTTAAAAATCATATATATTAGCCCTGTCTGGTAAAGCAACTTAAACTACCTGTGGGCCGAGCCTGCGCGGACGGTGCCGCGTTCCGGGCTTTGTGACCTCGCGCACGCGCCGTTGCGCCCACTCCGCCCGGAGGGCGGTCGGCCCTTGGGGGGCGGGGCTGCGCGGAATGAGACGTCACTGCGCGCGCCACATGCTGTTGCTGGGCTGCGATGGCGGCTGCCTCGGAGTGTCAGTCGGAGGACCCGCAGTGGAGCTTTGTGCGAGTTCTGGAGAAGCGGGATGGCACGGTGCTACGACTGCAGCAGTACGGCTCCGGCGGCGTGGGGTGCGTCGTTTGGGACGCTGCCATTGTGCTTTCTAAATATCTGGAAACGCCCGAGTTTGCTGGAGATGGGGCCCATGCGCTGAGCCGGCGGTCGGTGCTGGAGCTGGGTTCGGGCACCGGGGCCGTGGGGCTCATGGCCGCCACCCTCGGGTAAGAGCCGGTGGGCGGGGGCTCCACTTTGCTGGGGAAACTCCGGTTGCAGGCTTCCCATGCCTACACCTCAGGCGACGTTATTTTATAGGGCAGATGTTGTAGTCACCGATCTTGAGGAATTGCAAGACTTGTTGAAGATGAATATTAATATGAACAAGCATCTTGTCGCCGGTTCTGTTGAAGCCAAGGTACTGAAATGGTTTGTATGGCTTTTCAGCTTGTTAAGATGTCGATTTATAGTTTGCTTTAAATTGCGTTTCATTAAAAATATGATAATAGACTTTTCAGTTCTTGTGTATAAAACAAGAGTGTTTTAAATTATTAAAACGACAGTTAAAGTATTTGTTTGACATTTTTAAGGGGGGAAGAAATAGAAGACTTTCCTTCTCCACCAGACTACATACTGATGGCCGACTGCATATACTATGAGGAGGTGAGTATTTGGTGAGCGAAATGTCTTCTTTAAAAGACGAACCGTATTTCATGGGTTCTAAAGCACACATTTCTTCACATTTTACCATCTCTGAATTCGAGATATCTGTCTATAGTCGATAATGCAGTAAAGAGAAGATAAAACTCACCAGGGACTATGTATAAACACATGGTTAACATACAGGCCTGTGAAAGCTTATTGAAAAGGTGTTATATGCATTTTGCTAGAAGATTTTGTAAAAATGTTTATGGGTTATTCCATTTAGATCTGTTTAGAAAAGCTAAGAGCATCTTTTTTCTTAAGCTGTTTGCAATTAATGTGTTGACCATGTGTTGAGAGTTAAATTGCACTGTAAAGAATTCATTGATGACAAGATTTATTACACTCAGAATGATTTTTCTTTATTAGTTTATTTAGTGTTATGGGCATCATTCATTTTTTAATAATGAACCCATGTTAAAGTTAGGGTTAGAGTAAATTGTTGCTTGTTTAAATCTCATGTTAAACTAGGTTAAATAAAGTTTTAAGGGTAAAGTCTATTTCGTTTGATTTCCCATGAACTTGAAGTCATTTGAATTCTTTTGGAAACTGAAATCAACATAATGATTGATTAGTAAGAAGAGTTTACCAATCATTTGTTATAGAGCTTTAAGGACGTGAATTTGTTAGATTGATTTAGAGATTGATAAATTGTAAGGAGCTATAATTATCCCTCCATCTTCTCAACCCCCTTTTAAAGTAGAAAATTTTTAAACTCATAAACAAAAATATATTCTTTTTGAATAGTCTTTGCAGCCGTTGCTGAAAACCCTAAAAGATCTCAGTGGATCTGAGACTTGTATTATATGTTGTTATGAACAACGAACAATGGGAAAAAATCCAGAAATTGAGAAAAAATACTTTGAGGTAAGTATTCTATTATGATTGTGGTGATTATCTTTCAGGGAGGTATTATGTGACCCTATCCAAATACATTATGGGAATTTGGGGTAGAGAAAACATTCTGCTTGTATGAACTTGGGGAGAGGGTCTTTTGCAGCCCACCATTCTATTTTCATTTTTAAATTTTTTCATTTTGAAAATGTTAGAGTTGCAAAAGCAGTACTTAAGAGTCTTAGTATCTTTCATCTTTCTAGTGTTATCTAAACCCTTTTGATGGACAAAATTCCATCTCCTTTGGAGAGTAAATTGGTGGGGCCTGTGGTTTTGTCGGTGAAAGAACTATGGTTATTTAGAAAGCAGGTCACTGCCTCAGATATATATGCTAAAATGTTTTTTATTTTTATGGGGGTTTTTTTGAACATGAAGAATGTGAACTTTTGAAACTACATGTAATGAAAACTTTGTATTGTTAAACACTTTTAATTGGGGTAGAACATGTAAAACACACATCAGTTGTTCCCCTCAATTTTTCATGTATATACACCCGGCTAGCTACTACCAAGCATAAAGATCTTCTCACAGTCAATACTCCTTCAGATGTAAACACCATCAGATTTTTATCAACACAGGTCAGTTCTTACTATTGCATTGAAGTGTATCTCTTTTACATTTATAGCTTCTTCAACTAGACTTTGACTTTGAAAAAATTCCTTTGGAAAAACATGATGAAGAGTATCGAAGTGAAGATATTCATATTATATACATCAGAAAGAAAAAATCGGTAAGTATATTCTCAATTCATCCTCTAAAGTTTCATCATCTGAACACTAGGCTTGTATGGTGTAGACCTTGATTCTGATGTGTAGAAGCATCTGTGAGGATTCAGTGTTCACTGATTAAGATGACTTAATCTATCTTGCCTTGGATTCTTGCTCTAAATAAGGTAGGCTGCTTTTTAAATACTGCTTTCAGCTGTAATATATACAGCTTTTTAATTAGCATTACCTCAGACAAGTGGTTTAGGTATTTGTATGTTTCTTTTAGCTCTGAGATTTTAAAGTGCCAGTTCTAAACTTTATGAACTTTTTCCAGTCATCCATAATTTTGAAACAAAGAAAAATAGGCTCCGCGCCTGTGGCTCAAGTGGCTAAGGTGCCAGCCACATACACCTAAGGTGGCGGGTTCGAATCTAGCCCAGGCCCACCAAACAACAATGATGGCTGTAACCAAAAAAAAATAGCCAGGCGTTGTGGCGGGCGCCTGTGTTCCTAGCTACTTGGGACGCAGAGGCAGGAGATGCGCTTGAGCCCAGGAGTTGGAGGTTGCTGTGAGTTGTGATGCCACAGCACTCTACCCAGGGGGACAGCTTGAGGCTCTGTCTCAAAAAA